AACATGAGTACCATCACTTTGGCACTAACACTGGCACGCTGCCTAAGCTTTGTACAAAATGGAGCGGAGCGCAGGCGAGCAGTTCATGCCCAGTGGAAACAGCGGATGTATGGGCACTGAGTCATCGTGCTGAGTGTGCCCCCAGGAAAGCACCGGACTCTCAAGGCTGGAATTTGAGCCCTTTTCAGTTTCCTGTCCCTTTAACCGCAGGACTTTGATAAGCTCCAGAAAAGCCATTAAATATTTAGAAGCTTTCTTGTATCTGCTGTTGGATGTTGGTTAAACAAAACAAAACACAGAAGAAAAAAAAAAAAAGGACAGACATGATTGTATGAACTCGGCCCATTTTGGCACACAACAACCGCAGACAAACAGAACAGAACACACCGATTAGTTTAACTCCTTCCTATTGCAAATAAGACGCAAATAGTCTCTGTAGGGTCCTGCGCACGTAGTCTGCACATACAGCCTGTGCTGTGTATTTCCCCCTCTTTATCCCCTCACAACTGCAATGACTAAGCCAGCAGGAATTTCTACCTTATATACTTAAAGGGGCAGACTCATTTCATCCAACTTAACTGTACATGCTTTATACGTAAACATCAACAAACCTAAGTCCACAGAAATCTTTCAGCCAGCTCAAGGCAGCATCATTTCTCCACAGCTCAATCTTTGAAGAGCTAATCTTGACAACAAGAAGTTTCATCTTTGTGGTAACTTCAGAAATCAATTTGCAAAAAGCCTCTCAGGAAGACAAGGGACTCGCATTCTGTTATCGCTCTGATTCACTTATAGTTCCTTGTCAATACTCGTTGATTAAATAAATGAGCATAGAGAGGCAGGAAAACAACCACAATGAAAATTTAAACCACACTGCTTTAAAACCTTTGTGTGATTTTGTGTATTTTTCTTAGTATTGTTTTTAAAAAGCAAAAGTAACCAGTTGTTTTTTTTCTTGCCTCATTGTTAAATGACTTCATTTGCTTGTGACATTTTTTAAAATATGCACATCTTAAGCAGAAATCAAGAGACCTGGAGTTGCGTTCTCACTGAACTTGCTTACCCTACGGTTGCATTGTCTAAATAAAACAGCTTCCCCCTGCTGCGAAGTGGGCTCAGGTCGGAGCACTCAGACCACAGATATCAAGTATGTCTTTGGCAAAGAGGGAGTAAACATATTATAAAATGTTCCCAGGCTGGTGGAGAGCTCTCCCAACTGCCAGGGCTCCAAAATGCTTTCGCTCTGCTGAGTTTCGTCTGGGTTCAGTACAAGGACACACAGAGCAAAGACTGTCTGTGGCATAACAGGACAGCAGATCTCTTTGTGTTTAACTTTCCTTCCTGCACTTCACCTTAAAACTCAGGCCCGAAAACTCACACCACGCAACGTTCAAACCCGATGACATCGCCGCCTTGCTTGTTTAAAAAAGCAGCTGCAGTTTCGGCATGTACACATTTGGGATCAGTTGACTTACGACATGTATCTAGCAATATCTAAATAAAACATTGCGGACATGATGTTCCCTCAATTCAGACAGGATAAGGAGCTAAAGGTTGAGAAACTAGACCAGAGTGCGTGCGAGGCTGAGCATACCATAAGTTAATATTCTATCACGTAAAGAAGACATGTGAGCTATGTGCGACCCGGCAAGTAAGAGAGTGTGTGCCTCCCTGTGGAGCTATGAAGACTAACCTGCCCTGAGACTGGGTACGGATAGAGCAGCATGCTTCCTGCTCATCTGCCTAATTGTAACAACCTCATGTCTATCTGGCTCTGGCTCGGGTCCAGCAGCAGAGGGCAGACCTGTCTGAAGCAAACACAGAGACCTGAGGAGGCGATCTGAACCAGACCCGACACCTTTTAGTCACGGGATCCCCCATAACTCAAAGCAAACGGCGTGTAATGTCAGCGGATCCAGAGTCCGGCCAAACAAGCCGGTCGGTTGTGACCACTGTGTGAGCGAGAGAATGCCTCCCAACAAGTAAACAGTGGAGAGATATCTGACAGCCGGAGCTGTTAACAGCCCTGCAGAAAGGAGTGAGGTGAAAATAGAAGAGGAAACACCAGCAGAACAACTGACAAGGACAATCAGGGATGAGGCTGAGGCTAAGTGAAGTGGAGAACGCCGGTGAGGAAGAAATGAACAGACAGCGTGTACGGAGAGGGGGAAGGCAGGGAGGGTATACGAGGAAAGCATGGGGGGGTTTAAAGGAGGAGGAGGAGGAGGAACGAAAAACAAGGGGAGGGACGGGCCCTTTTTTCAACACTCTGAGCGCTGCCCTTCAGCAAGCGCTCGCTGTTGAGCTTGTATACTTGACATTTGTCTGACATTTCCCCTCGGTGCCCCTCCTCCTGCATACGGCTTCTCAGTAAGGGCCTCTCTACGCATCACTGCCTGCCACTAAAAAGCACCCAGAACCTCTGCTCCAATCTGCACTTCCTCACACAGTCACTCCCACTCTCTTCCATCCAGCCGCAAGTGGAGCATTAACCTGGCTCACTCCGTCCGGCATCATATTAACATTCTCTTCTCAGAAGCCTGACCTGATACACCCAAAACTGTTGTGGAAAACAGTATCTGATGAGTGGACAAACATGCGGAGAGAGAAGTTTTTTTTTTTTTGTTGCAAAGCACTAGAAGGCCCAGAGGCTAAAGTAGTGTGCTAGGCAGACAGCACTCCCTCCTCATGTAGGGTAATTAAAGAGGAGACCAGGCCGTATTGACTAGAAAACCACTGCATGCCCTTGAAGGAACATCTGTACTGGAGAAAAACAAGGCAATTATGCAGAGGGGTGGAGGGAGGAGAGAGGAATCTTAAGCAGGAAGAAGAGAAGCAGACACATCAAGCTTTAAAAAAAAAAAACAAAGACAGGCATATAGCCTAGAATATTAAAAGACATCCCCAACCTGCTCTGGCTTCATTCTGTCCTATTATTGCTTCAGTAACTCCTCTCTCTCCCTTTTTTTTTTAAACCACCGAGAAGCTCACTGAAGCCTTTATCTGCAGCCTTGAGACCTCAAGGCCCTCTAGATGAATGCATTTACCCTGACCTCGGCCTGGGCCTCTGAGAGAAGTGAACTGGTTCAAACAATACTCCTGTTCCGCCTTTCAAGTCCGCTGTGTGAGAACAACAGAGGGTTTCGCCACAAAACACCGCACGGCATCCAGTGTGGGAAGAACAGACACGACTAAACAGACATCGCAGGTGATTGCGTTTCTCACAATTTAGCTTTTTGTAATGATGTGCATTTTGGAACTTTTGCTTTGCTTTTTTCCAGCAAAGACATTCCTATAAAATCACAACATATTTGATCGATATTGCCAATTAGGCATGTACCAAGCTCCAGCAGGTCACTGCATCCGAGAACAGACAGAGACGCTAACAATAAACACAGCATCTTTTCTACAGAGACAGACGTGGTCACTGGGGAAAATGCGCAGGCTTGATTTCCACTATTTGTTCTGAGGGTCCCTGGGGGGGGGGTGAAGGAGGGTGGTGTTTGAGACTCCAAACCGAGCATGGGAGCTGCACACAGGTCTTCAATAAAAAAAAAAAAAAGGTCTGGAGGAACATTTTCCCACCATTATTTCGCACAGATGAGAGGACACAGAAAATGGCACAAAGAATACCTGTGAGTCTGTGAGTTCTAGTGCAGAAACAGGGAAATAAAAGAGTCCCTCGATAGTCACACTGTAGACAGATTATGTAAAAAATAGATACAGGGATATTATACACGATTTCAAACAGACACTGATATCCCTAATTCACTGACACCCACAATCTAAATCTGCTGACTATGAAAGCAAAGAAGGAAATGATGAAAACTCATATGTTTCTCACAATTTCTACACATTTGTGATGTTTTTTCATAAAGATGTGCTGCAAAATTAAAGCAGCATTAATGTATGTTAACTATTCTAGTGTGTGTTTTTAGTGTTTGAAAAGTAAATAACCCTGACTGTAAGCTTGAACAAACCTTTCGTGACCCTGACCTCTGCAATGTGGAAGCGAACCTGAAAACAACTCACGGATGGCCTCAGGTGAAAACTTAAAAGCTTGAGATTGTCAGCATAGCTGCACGAATAGCAACGCAGGTGAGAAACTTTACGTGAAACCAAAAGAAGAATGGCTGGAATGTGCCAGAAAGTGATGTAACATTTCAACCAGGAGCCTGCCTGTGTCAAAACATGCTGCAGGTGAATATTATTAAGGCTTGAACTGCCACGAGAGGCATGAGACAGCTGATCTCACCGTCCCAATTTCTGATCTGAAAGCACAAGCTGTCTCACACTCTGGAATCTGTGAAAAGGACAAGCGAAGATATGCGACGTCGCCACAAGGTGCTAAATTCACCTTAAGTGCCGAACGAGTGTCTGAGGCAAATTGAAAACAAGCATCAACACTTAAATGGATTAATTGAAACCTGCAGGCTGAAAGGAATTTAAAATTTAATATGTACACAGATATAAATGATATGACCCTGCCTTGAACTGTTTTAAAAAATGCATGACCCTACCGCTGGGCCAAAGTTAAACAAGGATGACCCTCCCCCAGATTCTTCAATATACCCCTTTTCATAAATTGCAAAATGTCCCTCAGGCAAATATTTAGCTGACATGGTCCAGACAGGTAGACTACCTCATTTCTTGGCAGAGCAACGTTAACCTCAACTGAGTATACCTTTCTAATACCTGGTGCTCTATATTGCAGCCATCCTTCACTCCACAAATAGCCTGATCTTAAGACAAGGTCTCTATAATGAACAGAGAGGAAATGTTTGCACTGGCCCATGGACAATCCTGCTGCCTGACGGAAATGAAGGAAAAACACCGCGTAGATTCATGGGATTTGTTCGCTGGTGAAGAAACGCACAATTTTCCTGAATGTTTGTGAGACTGGAAACCGCCGAGCGAGATCAAAGCCACATCTGCAAACTATCGCACAAACGCTGCCGTAATTAAAATTAATTTAGCAACCACCAGAGAATTCAAGTTACCTTTCTGGCACTGGGTGGAGGTCCAGCAGCGATAGTCGGACTTGTTATTGATGGACGTCCTCTGACAAAGTGGGTTATCCTCCATGATGCCCGGGCAGACATTGTCGCACTCCTTCGCCTTTTTGTTCCCATTGATAACGTTGTTAAACTGAGCATTCATAATAAGAGACCAGTCAACCGAGTCCAGGTAGCAGAGCTCGGGGTTCTTTTCAATCCGCATGGCTCCTCGGGTGACGTTCCTCAGGTTGTACAGGCCGATGTCCTTCAGGCTGGTCATCTCGTAGATCACCAGGGCGTAGTTGTAGAAGAGGTTGCGCCCGCGGATGACGCTCAGGTTGGGGAAGAGCATGCTGAGGCTGTCCAGGCCTGAGACGCGAAACAGCAGCAGGTAGTCGGTGATGACGGTCAGCTTTGGGAAGCTGAGCGAGCGGAAGACCTCCTGGTGGATGCTGTTGGTCTTGTCGTTGATGAGGAGGATCTGCAGGTAGCCCTCCACCACCGTGCAGTTCTCGAGCCGCTTGAATTCACTGATGTCATTTCGGATGTCGAAGCTCGGGCCACAGACTGGAAGACACACACAGAGAGAGACGACACATGAAGACGCATTGTCCTTCTTTTAATCAAGAAAAGCCAAAAAGCATTGACAATGGAGACAGTTTTGTATTTGTTTCGGAAATGAATGTAGCAGGAGTGTTTTGTGGGGGAATGCAGCATAGATTAGCATGTGGATTACTTTTACCGAAAGATTTTAATTATAATAATCTTCCTGAGGCATATAATCCTTAGTCGAGATGGTGAGGCTGGTACTTTGCTGGCAGTGTATCATACATACAAATAACACAGAGCGGAGGGAAAAAAAATACACTGGGTGCATTACTAGGACACCAAGTTTCTCCACTATATGAAACAAGTTAATTTGTTCCCAGTGTTCACTCAGGGAGGCTGTTTTTATTGTAACAAGGGAGGGAGACTCTCATAAGGGCCAGCTGAGGTGAACACATGTGCAAGTTAACATATTGCTCCTCTATATCTGAAACAAACCCTGTGTTTATCTGTTAAAAATGGTTCGTCCGTCACCTCAGATAACCCCAGCATTTAAATAAGCCATTTCTCTGTGCTCGGAAAACAACACTTGAAACCAGAGTGCCTGGAGCGTCCTCTGACACCACACGCAAAAAACATTAACAACAAAGACGGCATTTATTATTGATGATAATCAACTCTCTCTCTAATTGCGCCTATAAACTACAACATCAAGTGAAACTATGTCACGTTTTTTTTTTTTAAAGATTATTTTTGGGCTTCTGTCTTTTTTCTTTTTGTTATAGGGGCATCTGAGGAGAGACAGGAAAGGGGGGGAGAGAGGGTTTGAACAGAGGCCAATGTGGGAGCCTTACTGTATAGTGTGCGCTCTCCACTGAGCTACCAGGGTGTCCTAAAAAACACTATGTGAGTTAAAACATAAATTCTTATTCATACGGTGAAAAAAAAAAATGCAGCAAGAATTTATGTTCCAAAGCATTTGCGAGCCAGCCATCATAAAACATAAAAACACTGAAGAAAAGCAGCACGAGTCAGGAGGAAAGAGGGTCCAACGGGGGCAGAAATGGGGAGCAACAAACTGCGACGGCAAGACAATGCTAACTCCTGGTCCCCTCAATGACACGGTGGAAGGACGCAAAGTTATAAAAAAAAAAAAAAGCTGGGTTTCCGAACAGACTTAGAGATGGCATCTGACCAGTAATTTCTAACATCGGCCTCTACTATGCATTCCACTGAAGTTGCAGCTTGGTGCTGGAATTTTTCTGGTGTTGCTATTTGCAGCTGCCATTCAGTATTCAAATACTGGGAGGTTGAACGCTACAAAGTAAACTAGACTTATTGTTTTATGCAGCAGGATCCTGTAATTAACCCCTTTGGTTGCAGACAGCGCTCCTGTTGCGCAGGAAAAGTGTACAGTCTCACTTTAAATGTACTTTTATCCACCTGTTTAAACCATTTGTCCTTTACGCAACTGACCCCGGCAGGTCGAGGCAGATGTCCACTCCATACCTAAGCCTGGTTCTGTTTTTGCTGCTAAAGGAGAGATTTTTCTTCCCACTGTTGGTAAGGAGCGAGCTCTATAATGTGATACTGTAAGGCCTTCCCTTGAGATGAATAATGCTGGATTAAACTGAACTATTTTAACAATACATTCACTACTTTTAGCCTCTTTTTTTACTCTCCTATCATCTTTGGGGTCAATTTGACCCCATTCAATGTTTACCATCCCTAAATAAGTCATTTTCAGTTTTATTTAAAGGGCTATTTACACATAAACTTGGGTAACAATTTTAATTGTGATATTTTCTGGAGGTTTAAATTGCTGGTGTCAAATTTAACCCAAAGATAAAAGTTGTCAGTAAATTTGAAGGGAATAGGAGGGTTAACTTTGTATTTATTACACTTAACTATTTAACTATTGAACCTGAAACAACAGACTTAATAACAATCCAGCCGGTCACTTTGCACTTTGTATATATACATGTATATAATATTACTATTTTCTTTATTGATTGTATCTCCTCTTGCACTGTTTCAATTTATTTATTTTTGCTTTTTTTTTTTTATTTCTCTCTCTCGCTCTATGTACATATACTCTTACATATATACTTCTTTCTTATGTGTTTTATTCTTTATTCTTATTCATCTTTTTATTCTTGTTTCCGTGTGGAACAGGTACACAACACATTTCATGTATAACTGTGTTTGTGACCAATGAAGGCCTTGAATCCTTGAATCTTGAATCCTTTTAAGTTTTTTTATTATTATTTTATCCTTCAATAATTGCTTCAAAACAATTAATTATCCATTTGAAATATTTTTCTCTTACTTTTAGCTGTTTCAAATGCTCATTTAGAGTTTTTGTCAGCTGCCCTATTTCAGTTTTCGCTACATTTATTTTTATTTTTTTAATTCCACTGAGTAACTAATTTTAGCAAAATGACTTTAAATGAAAATTTCTGTTTTTACAAATGACTTGAGGTGCTCCACAATCTTTTCCACAAACAACAGCAGCGGGTAAAAAAAAAAAAAAAATCACCTGAAGCTGAAACGTTCTCCGTCCTGTAAACTGCATCTTTAAATATTCATGAAACAATAAATGATTTATACAATTAGAGAACTGGGACGTACGGCGGCGAACAGGTTGCACATTATTCTAAACTGTCTAAAAGAAGGTTCAACAATCAGCACAGGAAATGCCCTGACATATGAGCTCCTTGGTTAAACCTGTTATGTTCTTAGAGAGGCTTAGGACGCCGTCACAGTGAGCGACATTGTCACAGCGCCTGTCCAATGAGACAAACAGACGTGTTTTCAATAACAGCGTTTGATCCTTGTCAAAACATTGTCTAATCACAGCGAGGGGATGAAGCGGAGAGCTAAACTCTTTCTTGTCCCAAAATAAACAGCGTGCCACAAGAATGTCTTTCTCAAACGGGGGAGAACGGTCGTAGAAAACGGCGCAAAAGAACACCTCTCTGCGCCGTGCACTCGACCGGAGGATGTGTGTGTGCGCGCTCTCTCTGCGAGGAAATTAACTCCACTTCAGCGCTGACAAAATAAGCCATGTTTGATGTGCTTTGTTGGAGCTATTCTGCCAAAAATAGAGGCCGCATTGTTTATGGGGATGAATGGGCTATATTTGCTCCTGTCAGGGTGTCTCACTTCTCCAAATTTAGAACGGAAACAATTACTCCAGTAGAAAATAGTATTTGCTTTCTCCAATCAACACCAATGCCCCTGGGCTCCACTTGTGAGCCATCGAGCTGCATGTCTTCTTTGTTTCATTGAGAATTTTCTTCCAGCTTCTCGAGCAGCCGGAGAGAGAGGGAGGAGGGGTGGAGCCACTCAAATACAAAGACTAATTTGTTTGTTAGTAAAGAGAAACTCTAGGCCCCACTTCCTGATGAGGGCATTAATAAAATCAGGGGAGGGGTTGGAGGGAAGGAGGAGGAGGAGGAAGGGGCATCTGGCCAGGGGAAGATAAAAATTTCTGCCAGACGCAGCTATCGGAGGCCATCCTGGTGTAAAAGCGTGACAAACACAAAACTGCTCTGCATTAAATGTATTTCTGGGCGTCGTAAATGCCAAGCGGCTCTTCCTGAATGTCTGAAATTGATTTACGGTCCAAAAAAAAAAAAAAAAAACGCTGGGAAAGGAAGGAGAATAAAAAGAAAGGAATGACACAAACCTCCTCTTTGTGATTTTCTTGTTCTACTCATTAGGCATGTTAAGTACCAGGAATTCCAATCATTTCCTTGCAAAAAGACTGAGAAGGATGTTGCCTGAAACTAAGCCTCCAGGCTTCTCCCGATTCTTGCCAGTCAATCCATTTGTTGTGAAGGCAACAACAATGCTTAAATAAGATTTAGATTACCAAATCCTTTATTCATTCTTACATAAACAAGATATATTTCAGCACCGGCGTCCACACCAGAGTGATAATCCAGCGTACATGTGTCTGTCTCTGCCTCCCTTGTGTGTCTTTGCTCTTCACACTGCTGAGTAAACACACATATCTCGGCGGCGTAATGGGATCCATCGGCTCATGTTTATGATTGATAAACCTTGCCCCGGCCTCTCCGTGGAAATGTCATCACACAAACACACGCACCTGCACAAGCACAAGCGCAAACACGACCCCCGCCTAAGTCCGTCAAATCGAGCCGAGGCTAACGGTCACTGTTTATCTCCACATCGCGATGAAATCTGATTCGCATCCAGTGAGCGCAAACCTACATGCAAACAAACATCATCTCAGTCTTTGGCTGACAGACACGCGAGATTGAAATCTGGACCACATGTCGCGCTGTTTATCAAAAGGCCGCAAACTGAGCATTCTGGGAAAGCACTTAACTGGATCCTTCACCAGACATCCAGCTGTAAACTGCAGGAAGGTTATTAGGGAAGATTCCTCTCTCCCGCCCCGCGCTTAGCTTGAGGGCAGTGTTTGTCCACCGTTTGCTAGTTTGAGGATATTTGGGGTCATAAAACTCTTGTAAGAGTTGTTAATGTTGCTGTGCGTCAAAGTACTGATGCATAAAAATGATGTAAAACAAGAAAACTTCACATTTGAGCCACGTCATACGAGAGAAATGACGTGATCTGTCGTGCGCAAACTTCTTGCAGCAATTAATTTAGAATAGAAGAATAGAATAGAATGCTTTTTATCAAATCAAATCAAGTTCATTGTCATTTTGCTGTACTTACACAGGCAAGATGAGAGAGCGTTTCTTCAGGATTATTCAACCAGCAAGTTTTGCAGAATGCACGTCCGGGATAAGACACTAAACCACGGGTGTCCAATCCTGGTCCTCGAGGGCCACAGTCCTGCATGTTGTAGATGTTTCCCTTCTTCCAACACACCTGATTCAAATGATCATCAAGCTCTGCAGAAGCCTGATAACGATCCTGGTCATTTGAATCAGGTGTGGCGGAAGAGGGAAACATCTAAAACATGCAGGACGGTGGCCCTCGAGGACCAGGATTGGACACCCCTGCACTAAACGTTCACTGTCGCT